TTTTTCAATATTTTTAAGCGTTTAAATTGTCAAAAATTAACAAAAAAAAATTAATTTTTTACATTTTAAATTGAGTATGCAGATTTATAAAGTTATAAAAACTAACATAGGACTGCTTTCAGAATTAAAATGTATGCTTTTTTTGTTAGTTATGAGATATTTAAGCATTTATTTTTAGAAAAAAATTTCATATTAAAAATATAGTAAATATTGATTTAAAGATTACGAATATTTGAAGCTTAGTTGTAGTCGATTTCCCATAACTTGATTGCAAAACTGTAATATATATATATAAACCTCGGCGTCCCAAAGTTAGTTTATTTTCTTGTTAATTCTTTTGTAAACATAATTCATCTAAATATCTAATTTCTCTTTTTACCACAGTTTTCCATATTTCCCACTCAAATCTCATATGACTCATACGCACAGTAGTCCCCAAACCACTTCCATCGTCGTACAATAAAGAGCAAATAATTAATAAAATAAGAGAGAAAAGGACATCTATTATATATTCATTTTTTTGAGCTATAAGAGTTGACACTATTGTTTAAAGAGCAGAAGGTGTGTCCTGGCGAGTCCCAACTTCATTTATCACTCACACACTCTGTTATCCTAGGAAAAGTGAAAAAGTAACCCGCGTAAAAGGCTCCAATTCGCTTTAAGGTAGCCTCTGACTGATTTAAATTTGCATTCCTTGCTGTCAGCGGGTGTCAAATAAATTTGACAATACGCATATAGTATATATACCCATCCAGCCTCCGCCTATTTCCGTAAGCCGCATTATCCTATTAAGGGATTTAATGGAGTCACACACGCGCGCAGCAACTTTGTCTCATCATAAATCTGGGAAGCCAGCACAGCGGGTATTCTCTGCGGAGCGTAGAAAATAAAAAAAGATGGCGGGGGAAGTTTTCCTGGCCTCCTTCTGGAAGCCACAAGCTCGGCATTGTGTGTGATATATGTCCCCCATATTGGATATTTATGCCCTTCACTTACCAGGTACCTTATTGATTTATGCGGCACCGATTATAGCAAATGACCAAAGTTGCTCCACACACACACACACACAGTCCAGTCTGGCCAATTCCCTGAAATTAGCCAAAAAGCTTGAGAGTGCCATTGCCAAAGATGTGCGGCATTTAAATTATTTTATCAGCACCGCCGAAAATTTATGAATTTCAAAAACTTTATGATAACACCCAAGGGACCGTTTTAAGGCCCCACAATCTCTGTGAAAATATATATCGTTGGCCATTTGGCCAACAAGTTGTGAGGTGGCTAACCAAATGTTGATGCTGAGATGTCTTGGCAACATTTTGGGGTCCTTCCCGAAATACATTTCGCCTAAATTTAGCCACGAAAGAATGTGCAAAAATGTTGAAGACAGGAAAGTTTGATGCCCATCTCCTGTAGGGAAATCGAGCTGCTGCTGCTGGCATTCTTGAACTAACTTTCAAGGCTTAAACTTTGTCCACTCGAGACGCTTTAATTGGTAGCTAGATTTGTGCCCCTTTAACTCCCAATGGCTAGAACCCAAAAACCTTCCTCTCTTTCCCCTCGGGGGCCTGTCACAATCCATACCCGGCAATTCTTTTTTTCCGTTCGTTTTGCAGCGCATAGTTTTCCATCGGAGACGAACCACAAAAAACGACTTTTCGATTTTGAATTTAGTTTTTGCTGTGGCCCGGAGTGTGCACTAACAGAAAAGCTAGTATTAAATAAAACAGAATTCTGAATAATACCGAAACAATTTTTAGATTGCTTTATAAATGTGTTTCAATGTCTACGGTTTTGTATGAAGCTCTTCTTCTGCTTTATTATCAACTCTTTAATTACTTAAAATTTAATTTTCTGATAAATTTAAAGACTTTTAGTAATATTTTTTCTATCTGTGCGGCAGCAGCACTCTCTGACATAATAAAATTCGTGTCCTGACATATCTCAGCAGGCTTGTCACACGTGTCGAAGCGTTGCAGAAATCTGGTCACCCGATGCTTCTTGATGGCCCAGCCTCTCCCCCTCTGGTGGCCTATTCAAATTGTTCATTTTACGCTCTCTATATGGTTTGCGAATGCAAATACTAGACTCTCTACAGGATGACACTTTCTGTTGTGGGCTCTCCTAATGCCTTTTGCTGGTGGGAAATGTTTTGGAAAGCAATTAGCATTGATAAATGCGAGCCTTGACATTGCACGAACTGAAGACATTGCCTGTCATTGCCTTTAAACGATTTGTCATGACGGCAATTGCGAAAGGTTTAATAGTTTGGGACTAGACCCAGTCATGATTGATTAGCCGCCTGGTGGGGAATCCCCATGGTTATTTAGTAAATAGTTGCAACCCCAATCAAGGATTGGAGAACTACTTAAATTAAAGATGGACAGGCAACTTTAATAGACTTTAAAGCCCTTCTCTCTTATTAAAAAGATTTCGACAGAAAACTATAAAAGGGAAAGAGAATGATTTAGCCAAGCCGATCATCGCATCAGCTTCATAAAATTTCTCCCTCAAATGAGGCATGCCTGCCTGGTGAAGCTTACCTGAAATGCATTTAATTTAATTTCGACAGTTTTCCGCACTCAAGCTGAGTAAACCAATAAAGTGCAAAGGCAAAGAAGGAGCTGGTGCACCAAAGTTGAGTAAGCTGCCTGATTAAATTTACACATTGAACCGCAACTGTTGCACGTTGTTGGCCCACCCAAAAAAAAGGGGCCATAAAAAGGCAAGGAGTTTGGGTAAAGTTTTATATCACCGCCAGGGAGCAGGAACAAAGCTGGTGGGAAGCTCCTTACAGGACCTGCTTGCTGTGCATTAAGGCAGGCATCCAATTGATGGCTCCCGAGCAGATGTTCCTTCGTCAATTGCCTGTAAGTGGAGGGTTGTAAAAGTTCTTATTGCCGGGTGCATCATGCTACGTATGAGCAATGCCACCGAATTAATACCGGAAAATAGTCAAATTCTTGGAGCATCCCAAGTGGCTCTAGGTTGCTTTTCTATAACTGCCATTCTGAAGTGGAGGCAGGGGGATGGATAGCTCACTTCAAAATGTTAATCAGAGTACGGCCTGGACGCCGCATCCTTCTCGAACTCCGTCCGGATGTGTCAAGTGTAGCAATATTGATGTGCAATCTCGAGAGCTGCAAACCGCACAGCTCTCAATTTGCATGCGCTCAGGCCACTCGAAGGACTATGTGCAGTTCGAAATGCATTTTCAATGGGCCAACGTAGTCCGGGGCAGTGGTCCTTACAAGCTTCATGCATAAATTCAAATGTTTTTCCCGGCCAATAAATGGCAGCCGGACCCGGGCCGACATTGTCTCTAAGATATATGAATCGGCAAACAAATGGTTAGCCATTTTTCACAGGGCCGCATTATGCAGCCAGAACCAAGCACCAAAGTAGGTTTCGATCCATGAGCCTTGTGCTTGCATAATGGCTCGGCATCCCCGGCATGAGTCTATTCGAATAATTATTTATTACATTTAACTAAAGCAAGGCAGGTCTAATATATTGTAAATTATAGTGCAAAATGGATTATAGACTTATAGTTATAATACTTGTGTTGCATATGCAGTCCTAGAGGAAAGGAATGACTTACATGATGTCTCTTCAATTATTTTAAGAGCCCTTTTCCCCGTCACTCATTCTCCGCCAAATCAATGCAAACTGATGCTGCTCCCAATGCTGGCTCACAATGCAATCAGCAACAATAGCAATCCGCCACGGAAACGGAAGCAATTTTCATTTGCGTTGAGTTTGGTTTTAGCTCGGTGTCGTCCTCTGCGGTCGCTTAGGAAAATGCAGGAAATGCAGACTGCATGAGGAGGCGGGAAAAAGGCGACACATGCTCGGCGACATGTTACCAACATAATTTCGGCTGGCACACACAATGGGCCAAGACAGATGGTAGGGTTGGGGTTGGGGTTGGGACCAAGAAAACCGGATAACCGGAAATCCACAAATGATGCAAGTGCGCTCTGTGCAGTAAATGTGCATTTTTATGAAATAAATTGTCGCTTCTACGTTTCGCCCTTCCTAAACCACAAAATAACACCGTTCGTATCGTATCTCCTTTTTGGTTTCATAAACAGTCACACTTTATTATGGATTATGGTTATTGCTGTGTAAAATAAATACAATTTATTCCGACTTAAGTTTACGTAAAAATGCCAAGTTCTGTTATTGATTCGATGAGTTTTTTGGGCAAATGGAAAACATAAAATCGTTTGGGTTTCTAGTTGGGGGTTCCATTCAAATGATTGTTGACCTTTTGCTTAGGGGAATCATGCCTTACCAACTATTTTTTTTTAATATATATACTATATAGTTTTGTATGTGTCTGGGAAATCTATGCCACTAACTACGTGCTATGTTTTTTAATGTTTAATTTTTTAAATTCTCAAACAGCGGCTGCTCAATTTTGAATCGCATTGGCCAAATATACAAATTTGTTTACCATTAACACTCAGTTTTTTGTTTATAATTTATGCATTGCTTGCCTTAATACTTATTTACAGAATACACTTGGTTTGTTTTTTTATTTTTTTTGTGTTTTATTTTTTTTCGTTTTTATTTCTTTTATCACATTTGAAATGTGTGAAATTATTCGTGGGTCGGTTTTTATATACAGATGCGCATATAAAAAATGATTAAAACTAAATTATAAATTACAAGTATCTTAGTGAAACGCTGGTAAAGTTATTTAATTGTGAGAATGGCAGTTTGGAATTAATTGGGCCGCGTCCCAGCCATTTTTTTATGATGATAGAGACTGGAGACTCGGAGGGGAGGGTTAGGCTCCGGGACTCCAGTCTGGGAGTGATTAATGAACTTAATTGCAAAACTCAAATCCTAATTACTGCATTACTTCGATGTGACCCGCATTGCCATTAATTATACGCCCCGTCGGCCGGCGGCATCAAGTATACGCCCCGTAGTCCAACTCTCTTGCGGCTTACGTCGGCGTCGTATTTAACCGGACCAGTGCAGGTCCTGGTCCTGGTCTGGTCCTGTTGCTGTTGCTGTTGCTGGGGCTGGGGCTACGGCTGCGAGGAAGTGATCCAGCTCCCCTGGGTCAGTTAACGCTGACCAGCGGCTCCAGCGTGCTGCTCAGATGCACCAGCTGCTGTTGCACCTCCCGCAGGCTGGCCAGGCTTCCCTCCATCTGGCGGTGCATGGGCGGTGGCGGGGGCAGCACCACCACCACAGCCTCCGCGGGCGTGGGAATTGGAGTGGGCGTGGCCATGGGCATTGGGGAGGGAGCTCCAGGCGGAAGTAGGGTGGCCGCCGCTGCCACTGCTGCCATGGTCGTGGCCGAACCCGGCGAGTGCGAAACGCTGTACATGAGGCTGCCCATGCTGGGATGCTGGGGCGGCGGTGGAGCCGGGGGCAGCATCATCTCGTCAATTGTGCAGACACGATCGTCGACGGGGAAGGTGAAGTTGATTTCCTTGCCGCTGTCCTCGGAGACCCCGTGAAGCGGCGTGCTGCCGTTGGCAGGACTCAGGTTCAGACCCATTGCCTGCTGTTGCTGCTGTCCTTTGGATTTTGGCCCAGCTCCAGCGGAGGAGGAGGAGGAGCCTCCCGCTGCCGCTGCCGGGAGGTGGCCAGGGTCAGTGTGGTAGTCGTGGTCGGCGAACTGCCATTGCCCAGCGTGGTAATTGTGGCCGCCTCCAGATTCTTTTCCAGGCATTTGCTCTCGCCTGCGGAAAAACCAAAAAGAAAAGGGGAGAACGAGAAAAAATCAAATAAGAAAAGTGTGATAGTAATCGTGGGTGCTTCAACATAACTACACCTTAAAAAAATGTATTTAATTTGAGATTCTATTCGTGTCTGCGAGTTTATAGTAAAAAGTATATACTTGTACATCAGAATTATTATTTAAACATCATTTTTAAGGCTTTCTTTAAGTTAGTTACTTTACAACATTTATATTTGCAGGCTATTTATTTATTTTTTTTAATTATACCCTTTTAGGATTTTAATTTTAGTCGAAAGCTTAAAACGTAGTGAAACACTCATTTCCGACCCTATAAATCAATATATTCTAGATCAGCATTAAAAGCTGAATCGATCTAGCCATCTTTGGGACAAAAATTAAATTTAAAATTTTATTTCAATTTTTTTAAAGGGGTTTTATCGTTAAAACTGCCAATATTTTTTGAACAAATTTGAACTTTTTTTAATTTTTGAAAGATGTATGCAGATTTGTTAATCTTGTAAAAATAACATAGGAAACTTTCCGAATTAAAATAAATGCTTTTTTGTTTAGTTATGGTTTTTTTAAGCATTGATTTTTCGAAAAAATGCGTAGGTTTTCCCTTTATTTTGTACTTTTTTTAAACCTTTCCGGGTATTATAATTTTAGTCAGAAGCATAAAACGCAGTGAATAATATTCAATATAATATTTATTATTGATCAGCATTAAAAGCTGAATCGATCTAGCTATCTTTGGGACAAAAATTTTTTTAAATTTTTTCAAATTTTATAAGGGGTTTTATCTTTAAAATTGCCAAAAACTTTCAACAAAAATTTTAATTTTTTTAAATTGAAATTAAATTTGTTAATCTACTAAAAATTAACATAGAAAGTTGTCCAAATTAAAATAAATGTTCTTTGACATAGTTATGACAGATTTTCTCTGCAAGTGATGTACAATTCGGGCTTCCAAAGTTTAGCTTCCTTCTTATTTAAATTACCGCAAAAATAAGAAATCAATTTCAATTTGATCAATAAATTCATATCAAATTTAATCAATGATTTTCCTTAGTGTTTGTCGCCCATCAAGGACACTGAAAGGCTGCGGCCGCTTCACAGTTTTCCACATTTTACTCAAATCTAAGAACTCCTTTTTGCAGGACGAAGGGCTAGCAGCAGGAACAGTTGTTTTTGCCTGCTGTCAGCTAAAAATTTTTCGTATTTTCTATTTTTTTTCGTCCCCGCTTATCGTGGGAATCGAATTTTTGGTGTGTGGCAAAAAGTTTCCGTTGTGGCCGGGCGACAGCCTCTAAGGCCATTTTATTGTTTGTGCAGAAATGCTACAATTGCGTAAATTCGGAAGTTTCCCTTTTGTTTTCCACTCGCCCAGAAAGCTCCCTTTTTCCACCCCAAACTATACATATTTTTTTGTTGCGTTGCGTTTCCCCCGAGTGCGTTCTGCTGAATGGGAAATGGGAGTAGGGAAATGGGAAATGGGAAATGGCTATGGCGACTGAGATGGAGATGAAGAGATGCCCCAGGGCCAATTTCAGGTGAGCACAAACATTAGCGCCAAACTTGGTCAGTGTGAAATTTATTTATTCACCAATTTAGTGGGAACTCTGACAAGGGAGAACCTAAGGATCTGGCATAATGAAGCACGTCCTTGTAATTAATTAAGTGCGGCGACTTTTTCCTCTTTTACTTTTTTTGCTTTTTAATTTGGTGCTGGTGAATCATGCGCGTGCCTGGATCCGGTATATAAATCGCCGGATGTCTTTGGTCGTTTTTACTTCATCGCCTGCACACTTGGCAAATTGCCCGAATTTAACTTTAGTCGGTTTATTTTTTCCTCTTATCGCACCTGCAATTAAATTTAAATTCAGGTGCTAATCTCTACTTACTGCCATTCAGATGATCCTCTCTGGTATAGTAACGAGCTCGATTTTTGGAGAAGCAGGCCACCAAGGACAGTATAATGACGGCAATTAGCACAAAGATGATGCCACCCAAAATGGCCAGAGTATTGAGACCGCCTGTATTGGGGGGAGAATTAACATTCAGATTGAGGGTATAATGGTATTTGCATTTTTTGGTGCTTATATTATGAACTGAAGTACAGTGGATTTTTTAGATACAGAAGGGAGAACAAATGGTGCTTAAATGTAGGAATCTTTGTAGTAAATCGATTTACTTTAAATTAGATTTAAATAAACAAATAAATAGTATTGCATCTATATAAGTACTTCGATTAAAGTCATAAAGAAGGTATTACCATATCTCTGAAGTGCATCCCTACCGTGCTCAAGAAAGTTATAGGAAGTGCTGGCCGCATTCTGTTCCTCATCGGTGATGAAGGTCAGGCACGTGTGAAGGCCATTGATGTCCAGGTTGTTAATTTCTGCACCTCGCAGGCTCTTGGGCAGGAAGCAAATGGGATATGTATCCCATTTCCATTGAAGCTGCAGAAGAGAAGAGCATCATCATCAATCAGTGACGTCTTTGAAAACTAATTGAATTCGAATTTTCCCCCAGTTTCTCTCTCCCTGTCTCCCAGTGGAGTTATTTTATTTTCACTTGAAGTGAATTTCACTTACTTGGCGCACGACATTTATTAATTTCCCCATGTGACATTCATCGCATATCAGTGGATTGTTGTCGAGTCGCACGTTGCGAATGCCTTGGATCCTGAGAGCAGTGTCCTCGTTGATGCCGTGTAATTGATTCCGAGATAAATCCAAAAACTGTTTGGGGCAAACCGGAAACGAGGCCAGTAAAAGTTCAATTAAAAGTGCATTACAAGGGGGAGTGCAGCGGAGGGGAGAGAAGAAAGGAAGATGGCAAACAAAAGTTTAATTTTTATTGGAAAACTATGCTGGTGAAATGACAATTAGCTTAGCAATACGAATGATTGTACTTGGAGAAATAATAGAGGTAAAAGGAGACTGTAAAGGAAAGTCTTTTAGGGTTTTCAGTTAAGATTTGGAAGTTTAAACATATTTTTTAGGACATATGTAACAGGAAAATTATTTAATTGAGGTATTATTAAGGAAGTATATTTCTAATCAAATAATACAAAGTAAACCACATATCTTTAATTTTGTAAATTATTTGAATAAGGAAAGGTTTAGTCTCCAAGAACTAATCTGTATATTTTTCTGAGTGTCCCAAAGACACACAAAAGTGGCTACAATCAGGCAAAACAATTTGGTAATTTTTGGGGCCAGCCACAAACAACTGGATGGCCCGGATGGCTTGAGCGAAGTGTATACACAATTAAATTCAATTAAAATGAAAGGCTTAATGGCTATAAAATGATTGTTGTTGCTACAGCTCCGTCTGTTGTCTTTTTGTTGCTGACAATAAATTTGCCATAGTCAACGGCAATAACAACAATGGCCAGCAAATTCGATGGCACAGGACACTGTGGCAACAGAAAGGATACATATATATCCAGTCTGCAGATAAGGGGGATATGACTGACAGCAGAGGCAGAGACTGGGTGACAGACAGACAGACCGAGTCCGGATGGGTAACGAAATAAAGCCACGGCTTTGGCTTGTTGTCAGAAATGTATAAACAGAAATGGCAAACGCTAACGAAAACTGCAAATTCCAGTAATGGTGCCAGGGTGCAGGATGCAGGATCCAGGCTCCTGCTGTTGTCGCCATGTTTTACAGTGAAATATTCTACAAATTGGCCAGAAAGAATCCACACACACAGAACACTGCAACAGGACAATAGATCTCCGGGATAAATGCGTGGGTGTGTGTGCGGCATGTCAGGTAGAATTATGGCCTCCTGTGAGTGACTTACCTCCAGCTCTCGACATGGATCGATGACCTCCAATGCCGTGTTATTCAAGGAATTGCCGGATATATTCAGATACCTCAGCTGCTTGAAAGGATGCAAAAGGCCAATGGGCATTTGGCCCATATCAGCAATGGCCAGATGGGTTAGCTGTGGTATGAGCTGCAAAAAGGAAAAAAATGTATGCAAAATATGAGGAATTTCATAAATCAATAGGAAAGCCCACAAAGTTGGAAATATTTAAATACTTTTCCTTTATTTAATGCATATTTCTAAGTTCAAACTCACCTCAAAGGTGTCGCGTATCTCTCTGAGATCCATCTGGACATTCCCGCTTATGTTGAGGGTCAGAAGATTGCTCAGACTCCTTATGGACTGCGGCTCCAGACGCACCAATTTGTTGTAGGACAAGTCCAGGAATGTCAAGTTGGTCAGCTGCAGGAATGAGTCGTTGGGCACTTTGGCCAGCCGATTGTACGATAAATCTAAACCAATTTCAAAGCAACACCAAGGACCCCAGGGGAATAGAGAATAGAGAAATGGAAAGCAATTGAGGATTTGTTTTTATTTTTTGGGGAGTATAATTTGTGTGGCTCACCCAAGTGATTAAGACTCTTCTGCATGCGAAAGAGTTGGTCCACCACCACGGACAATTGATTGCCATCCAGCAGGACCTTGGTGAGTCGCTTCACATCCCGGAACTCGTCCTTGTCGAGGAACTTGAACTGTGCGGCAAAAAGAAAATAATTGGAAAAATGTCTTAACTTGACTTGAGGACGAAGAAAAAGTCGCGGAGACAAACCTCGTTTCGTCCCAAATCCAATTCGCTTAAAAGCGGCAATAAATTGTACATCTGCGGATTGATTTTTTTCAGCTGACAATTGCGGCACTTGAGCACTTTCAGTTCCTGTGGCAAAACAAAGCGGGTTTTCACTGTGGCACTTAAAATGAATACACTCGGAGAATAAAAGCAGGGGACTTTTTTTTTCAAGTAAATATTTGACCTCTCACAAGCATTTATTATTGAATAATGTATTTATTTCGGGGGTTTTAAATGATTTTCATTTAGTAATACAAGATTCATGGGGCAATTATTATTCCGAGTGTTGAGCACATGCAGGAAACTCACCGGCACATCGCGAAACACATCCGGCTGTAAATCCTGGAGCGGATTTCCGCTCAGGTCCAGATACTTGAGCCTGCTCAGCATGAAGAAGTTGCGCTGCACGAGCTCCACAATCGAGTTGTCGGCCAAATTAAGACGTCGCAGATCCTTTTTCGGTTAAGACAGTAAGCGAGAGAGAGGGAGACATAGGAAAAGAGAAGCAGTTTACCAAGTTTATTATGGCACGCACTGAATTAATAATGTTTTATGATCAGGCCAGGCACTATAGCTAATAATTCATAAATCAGGCAAATAATGCCAGTACGCCCGGAAACTGCCAAAAAAGTTGCAGTTGCAGTAACAGCAGCAACTGCTTTTCCCAGGGAAAATGCCAAGGGAAAGAGGAAGTCACCAAGCGCGCTGAGCAAAACAAAATCGAAAGCAAATTGAAGACAACGAAAGTAACTTCTGTGTACTTGCACTTCCACTTGCACTTCCACTTCCATTTCCGCCGCTTGCCAGCAGAGCTGTACTTCTTCCTTGGCCAACTTAAATTCAAGCACGTATAACTTTCGCCCCAAAAAGTAGGCAACAAATTTGCAGGAGCTGCAACATGGCTATTAAAAATGCCGCACAATTTATTACCAGCCAGGATACGGGCAAAAAGGACTCGTGCAAAAATGCAATCATCTTTTGAGATTAAACTTGTGGCTGCGAGAATCTGCAAGTGGCATCCTGTTACGGATGGCAGCCATGGCCTTGTTTCTTTAACTTGGCTGATCAAACAACAATCAGAGTGTGTGCGTTGTCCTGGCGTAATTATGTTGAACAACTCTCTCTACATTACACAATGAGATGCCATGTCAAATGAAAAACACACTCATACACACACACACACACAACACACACACACACACACACACAGACAGAGCGACAAACAAAAGGATATCATCATCAGTCAACGGCCTGGTTATGTGTGTATACTCACCGTCAAATGGCGAAAAGTTGAGCTTGCCATGCGTAAAATTTTATTTTTCGATAAATCCAATTCAATGAGATTATCCTGGCCCCGAAAGTTGTTCTCCGTAATGTTGGTTATATTGTTCTTGGACAGATCTGTAATGGATGGCAATTGTTATTATTATTCAATCCGTTCTGTTTTTCTCATTCATCAATAATAAATGAATAATATGAAAAGTATAAATAAACAAGTAACAGCTACACTGATAGTGAGTATTTGTAACAGAAATTAACTCAATCCTGCGGATTCCCTTTGCTGGCCAAAAGGCATTTCGCAGTCTTTATAGCCGCAGCTAAAAACAAACTCAAAACACATTACACATACGCCCCATTGTCTAGCAAAGAGCTAGCTGGCCACGCCCCCCTTAAACATTCAGTAAAATTAATTTAAATAGAAATAGGAAAAAGCGGAAAAAGGAAAGCGAGGGCAAAGGAAATGCCAATTGTTCCGCCGCTGCTCTTTGCTGCCACAGTAAAAACCAACAGAACAAAATACAAAAAAACTGCAGCAGGACTCGCCTCGAGGTTTTATTTTTATGTATTTTTTTTTTTTTTTTGTTTTTTTTTTTGCAAGCGTGTATAACTCCTGACAGGCAGGAATGAAACACCAATACCGGTCGGGATTTTGGGGCGGGGAAGCCCCAAAAAATAAGATCCGGGCATGTAAATAATTGGAGGGCAGGGCCGCCAGCGGGGAGGCGGCGTTTGGTGCACATAAAGCACAAATAAACAAGTTTAAAGCCCCAGCGATATCAGGCATTGCTTTCGCTGGCTTTACACTTGCTTCCCCAATCCTCATCCTCATCCTCGTCCTGGTCCTCGTCCCAGGTCCCATTCCCAATCGCATTTTATTTTTCGGGGCGCTTTTTGCTGTTTGGCGCATCAATTTCAATTTTATTGACAAGACAACAATCGTTCGGCGTTGCAAAAACGAAGCAGCAATGCTCTTATTTTCTTTTCGAGTGAATGTCCTTCGTAAAAGTTTTAGTGTCTCTGTGATTTGCTTGGAATATTTAAATATATCCAAGGACTTTAAAATGTTTTTTATTCGATTTGGTGGTCTGGGGAGGATTTGATTTTGAAAATGCTTTGTTTAGTTTAATCAAAACATGAATAAGTTGTGGAATAAGCTTATAGAAATTATAAAGAAATAGCGCACTCAAACAAGGACTTTGAAGACTAATTTCTAGGAATTTTTGTAGCTCTTGAGTTTAGATTTGTGTTATAAAAATGACAATATCCCAAACCTTTCTGACATTAAGACATTTAGTTGCTGCTTCGTTCCACACATTAATCCTGTAGTTCACTCTTCACTTTGGCCTGCTTAAAATGCACAAGGATGTATCCTGCAAGACCTCCTGCCTTATCCTGTTACTGCCCTTTCTCGGCTGTCACTGGTTTGCTCATTTAACATTTTGCGACGCGTCCATGTCCGTTTGCTTTATTTGCCTTGGCATTTCACTCTTTCTTTTTTTACGAGCCTGCAGGACAACAGTATCGCCCTGACACGCCCCCTGTTATCCTGTCGTGCGATTGTTCGCCGCATTATTTGCATATCAGCGAGTTGGGCTTTTTAAGTACGTCGCGCAGCTGCTTAAATTGAAATCGCTTCTGCTCCCCTTTTTCGGATTTATGGGAATCGTAAAGCCATTGATTACTCACCTAATATCCGCAGATATTTGAGGCCCCAGAACGACTCGGCTCCGATTGCCGGCAGATTTGATTCCGTGATGCGTAATATCTCCAGTTTCATGAACTGACGCAGAGCCGGTCCTATGGTAATGGAATTTCTGGGCCCACGGATAATGATGACCTTTACATCGATGTCCAGCTCGTTGGGTGTGAGCAGTGAGTTTAAGCCACCTGTACAGTTAAAAAACAATGGGAAATAACCATTAAAGCTAGTTGAGGTCGAGTTTGTTTGGAGAGGAAATATACTTGAACTAGTTTTATTGTTGCCACGAGTTGTAAGAGAAAGTTTAAGGTAAAGAAAAAAGGAAAGTAGAAAGGTCTAGTAAGAGTTACTCTTACATTTTCAGCTACATCTTTATAATACTTTAAGACATTTAAATGTCCTCTAGCCTCAATTTACATTTAAATTTAATCAGAAAATTATCACAAATCCGCTTGTAATATTACTATTCCACCAGTGCACGTGTCCTGGCAACAATGCAAACGAGATCATTAATTGCACACCCAACCGAGTGAAGCTTTATTATTATTATTTTCTATTTTTTATTTTTTTTCTGTGCCAACAATGTCGAGAGCATTGGCATGGCATCTATTTAGAATTTGTGAAGCTGCTGCGAGTGCAAAAGGATCCCAGTCACCATTAACATAGCATTTGTATGCAGCACACTTTTTACTCTCACCCATTGTATTTTTCTGGGGCTTCTTCGGGTTCTGGGCTTTATGCATTTTACATTTCGCCGTGGCAGTATGTAAGAGAAGTTGCACTATAATGCGACCATTGTACTCGGCGGGGAGGGTTCAGGGTTTCAGCGGTTTTATGTCGGCTGAGCATGCTGGGGGGAATTTTCATAAAAATGCTGAGCATTAACACTGATTGTAACATATTTTAACGCCCACCCAGTTTTATTTTGTTTCTGCTTTTTTTATTTTTTATATATTATGTCTTTTTCCTCTTTTTTTTGGCGAGGTCATTGCTGGCACAGAGGACACTGGTTTGCTCATTAGCTTAGCTGCAGGAATTCTAACAAATTGCGGCTTAGATAAAATTAGCTGAATTTATTACAGACGAAAGGGATGGGAGTGGCTTTCATTTTGTTGGGGATTTTTTTGTTTTTAAGCTTGACATGTTGACCATGTGTTTAAGCTTAGCTTCGGAGTTAAAATTATATAAAGTAAAAGGATTTCTTTAACATTGTAAAACTAAGGGTTGATTTCCCCTGAAGTCTTGCCTAGTGATTTCCTTTTTCTTTAAAATTGTTCCATAAGTTTTTCCTTTAAAGCGATAAAATTAAAATGAAAATCTCATATTTTAAATCCCATTACTATACCCTGAGCTCATTCTAAGCCATTGGCAATTATTAAGAGCCCAACAGTTTTGAAATGGAATTAAGAGGACATTGAAGAAGCAGCTCACATTCAAAGCAATTCGAGGACTTTAGTCCTGGGGAATGTATATGCAGTGTGTATGTGTGCGATGGCCAAACAAGCGTTAAATTGAAATTATAGATTTTCGGTGAGCGGAGAGCAAAGAAAAGAAAAACCAGATGAGCTAGAAGGAGGGGAAATCCCCTAGCTACAGCCACAGCCAGAGCCACGACGACGGCAAATGACAGTTGAACAAATTGAAATTGTCAGACATTTAAGGGAAATAAATGGGCGAGCTTTAAAAGTAATGTCCCTTTCGAATCGCGTGAGAGCGGGAAATTTCGCTTTCCACAGATCGCAAATCGAATGCGAGCCAGGATGTGTAATTATGATAGTATCCAGCTGAGGAAAAACCCCCCATTTTTCTTTAGCATTTTGCATAACTTGCCAGCGTTTACTGGTTTTTCCGGCACCCCCTTATCGCATTGGTTCCGCATTTTCCATTTTTGCATTTATTGCGCCACTTACCTTTTGTACAGATGGCCTGGTAACGATCCGACTCATCCATGCTGCATTGGCATTCAATGGGGCACTTCCTTCTCGTGTTGCTGAACATCGCCGGCATTATGCTCAGACTGAACAGCAGCCACTTGAACAGCATCTGATGGAGACAGAGGAGAAAGTAGAAAGAAGCAGATGAGATGGAGAAAAGAAAAATCGAAGGTTAGTCCAGCATCTCAGTCTCAGTAGTCTGTGGTTTTTGGAATGCAATTAGTGCCGAGTCTGCTTTTGTGGCATAATGTAGTTGCCTGTGCCATGAATATCTTTGTCTCAAACAGAAGTCTAAGCCACAAAGAAGAGGGGTTAGTCTTCTTCCTTTTATTATAATTACTTCTTTAAGATGAAGTATACAAAGTTAATAGGGAAAGGGAAATGTTAATACAACACGTTTTCATATTTAAACCTTGCTCTTTTTGATACTTAAATGCATAGGGTCACTTTGTAAAAATCTCTGCTGCGACTTCTTCCGTTAATTACTTTTACAGATGATTGAACGACTCGTTGAACTAATTTAACTTTTCACCTCTTTGCTTTCTGCTTTCAATTACCGCAGCTGCTAATCTACATATAGAACCGCACACTCACAGTGACTAACACCAGCCAAAGAGCTATTCAAATTGAAATCAACGTGGTGTCACATGTTGACATGGTTTCAGCTGCTCCTCCTGCCCTGCACTATATACATGTATATCCTTTTTTTGTACAAACTACGTACAGAGTAAGTTCAGTGGTTTTGTTACATAGTTTCGCTTTGTGTGCGTTGCGTATACGCCGTGTTGACCTCGGTGATTTGTGGTCACCAGCAGCAACAGCGGCAGCAGCAGCAGGATACGGAGAGGCAGTACAGAACAGGACACTTGTGCGGCACCGCGGCCAACGATAAACTGTGGCAGCAACGCTGGTCTTGCGGTCCCAATGCAGCCAACGTGCTGCATAAATTAGCCGCAGCACATTGTGGTTAGAAAACAATACAAAAAACAAAGCTGCGAATCAAAAAATAAGAGCGAAAAATGGAGGTAAGGGAGGTTCTTGATCAAAAAGAAGTTTTATATATGATGATAAGATATTAAAGATTAATTAAATTAGGTAAAAACCTTGGGGGAGTTGTACGAAATTATAAAAAGTTTCACATAAATATAAATTGTTTTTTATACAGAGTTCATCTAGTATAAATATAAAATCTTTTTTATTTATTCAAGAAATAAAACTATTTAAAATTTCAGTAAAATTAAGCTTTACTGATACTGCTCATAGTTAGAAAATTATTGGATAGGCACCGCATTAACTGATTGAAATATCTTTAATTTAATTCCCCAAAATATCCACTTCAAGTAATGTAATTTTTTTTTGCGTGCACCGCGATAAGCATTTTCAATTTAGCCTGAAAGCCAAGGCCTGCGAATGCATTGGGAAATTAAATTTCGGCTTGGAGAATTTTTAGCTTGGACGCGTCGGATTTTCTTGCAGACATTTCTGTGGGACACGCGAAAGTCTAAGGATTTATGTGCAGCATATTTCGCATTTTACATATTTCGCTAAGAGCAGAAGGATCAGAAGGAGGAGGAGCAGACTCCGCGGAAAGAGTTGGCTGCCAGAGGCTGTCAAGTTTGCCGGCTCATCGCCGGCACCTTATGCCGGATTTGTTGTCAGGATATTGCCACTGGGCCCGACTGAGTAATATTTCTGCAAAGTTGCTGCGGTAAAAGTGAAAAATTGCGACAGGCTCTTTCTCAGCTCGGAAAACTCCGGCGGCAGGACAATTTTTTGCACTCAAGTCGGCGCAAAAGTTGCCGCCTCACACGCTCAAGCCTCACACTCAATTTAACATGGCACATAATTCACAATAAAGTTCCGAAAACTGCATTCAAAAATGTGCAAGTTGTGTGATATACGCAGTGCAAGTACAGAATATAAATTCCTTTTGCATACGATTCCCTCAAGAAGGGAATTTAAATTCAAATTGGGTGTCGCCGCACCTGGGGAATAATGTTTTTGGGGGGCGGATTTATGAGCCACAAATAAAACTTAAGGGTCTTACCGAAGGTAAAACCCAAGACTAGCAATTTTTATTGAATTTATAAGCGTACAAACTTATGTAGTATTAGCTTAGAATTATTTTATTTGTATTAGAAGATTTGAAAATATTAACGGTCTTATATTTGTAGTTTTTCCGTAATAGTTCCAATTTTAAATGCTGCTTCTTTGAGATTCTTCAAGTCCCAAAGCAACCAAAAGTTATTCCCCTTTCTGCGTTTGGTAAACCAACCGAAGATGGATGACCCAGAAATCAGCATCTGTCGGTCTCGTTAGCCGCCAAAAAGGATGGCCAACAACACAACCAACAAGCGGGATCAGATCCAGCTGACATCCTACACGTGGCACTTGGACTTTTGGCCAACTTTTTCGCCGTCTGCAGATGGCGCACGCGAAGTGGCCAAGTGGCCAAGAGTGGAACTCGTTCCTTCAGATATCGCCTTTCAGCACACGGACTCGTTTGCTATTTAAACATTGGGAAATTTGTTTGGCCCAAAGAGGCAGCCGGAAGTCTGGGAAGAGTGCAAAGTGGGGAGGCATTACTCATACGCCCCGTGCGCCGACTGGCGGATGTGGCATTTAATACGCTCGCTACTTTTGTAATTGAATATGATAAATCAAAGACAACTAACTCCAACCACCAACCATTCTCGGGCCTAAGCCGATGCGGAAGTGGAAGTGGAAGTGGAAGTGGTTGGAGCCTTTCCATTCCATTCCATTCTCTTCTCAAATTACACACACAATAAACTCTCATTTGCTGGGCCAGTGAATGGTATTAAATTTGCCTAAATTCAGGACTCGGACTCTGGACTCGACTCGATTCAAAACCAAATAAATCTCAATATTCGCCAAGGGAGCAAAATCAAATTACGTTAAACTCTGGCCAAGGGGCTAAGCCCCGAGAAAAAAAAAGGAAACAAAACGAGGCGAAACATCTGGCATAGCATTATGAATTATGCCCATCGGTGGGCGTGGTCCTGGTCTTGGTCCTTTCGCTGACCGACGAGGGCAACATTAAAATTCATGAACACATTTATTGCCAATTACTGCAAGGCCCCAAAACACGTTATATATAAATGTATATATATATATATATATATATACGCCAAAAATCGCAGGTCACACACCCAGTATAAGGAAAAAGAAATTGTTGCTAACAAAATAAACTTTGGACTCCGTTTGGCGAGATTTTTTTTGTCGGCTCGACTTGCCAAAAGTTTGTGCTTTTTTTGCTGCTCACATAAATTGATAAATTAGATTTACGCTCGAGAAATTATATTACAATATAATATATATTTCCGTCAGCCGATTTGTGTTTTTTTTTTGTTTCGTCTGAGCCTTTGTTTAATGTGCCAAATTATTTTAAGGTCTGCCTGCGAAATATATATTTCATGCATCAGTTTTTTGATATTTTCATCTGACATTTAATTTATGGCCCGCCATCGTGTGAGGGAAATTTATTTTTTAAATTATAACTGACAGGCGGGTAAATGTCTGGTGATTTAGTGAGGTCAAACTTTTGATTTCATAGAATTTTATTTAACAAATTTTATAGGCTTTGTGTGTTTAATGGAAAACCATTTGTTTAAACATTTTTGATTTGGTCTGAAACAAAGGGTTATAGCTATTTATAAAATGTTGGGTAATCAGAAAGTGATGCCCCTTGAATATTTGCCACTTTTAGCTACGCTTTTCTATATTTTTGGCACAAAGTTGAGCCATTTGAAGTCCACACGTGTTTGCGAGCAGACCAAACATTTTTATCAATTTCCAGCCACAAATTCGAGGCTCGAGGCTAAAAAGTAAGCTGCCCAGATTGAGCCAAGTGGCAGTGGCGATGCGTGATTATGGCCAGACTTTAAGGCACTGGAAAAAAATATGGCTAGGAAACTATAATTAAAGTGTTAGGTATATTAAATAGAAATTTAAATGGAAAAATTTGCAATGAAATTGTTGTTTACTATCTAAGGAACGTATTTAATATTGGTTTAAGTTAATATATAATTTGAGTAGATTTTTTCTGGCTGTGGATTAAGCCGAAAGGAGGACCAGGCAGCACCAAAAATGATAGACACAATGCTGTATGGTCACGAAAAGTGCTCCTCGGCCTTCCTTCACCTTCCCTGCTTGGACGCGGAGGCGGCATAAAAGACTTGAGCGATTAGTTGGCGGACGTGCGATGCATGAGAGTGAGGAGCGAGAAGGAGCGCCCTGTATCCTTGGGCCAGGGATCAGACGGCAGGTCGAGCTGAATATGTGGCTACATCTGGTGAAGGAGGATGAAGCAGGAGCTGGAGCAGGAACTGTGGCTGGAAACGGAATTGGCCACGTGCTGGACGAATCGCATGCCGGGCACACATAAGGCTAAGCCGCAGGAAAACCGCCGTAGAGCTTTGAGCCACAACGACCGCTTGCTGACCTTCTCGGGGATTTACATGGGAAAAAGCAAAATGTCGTTTATGGCTGCACAGGTCCTGTATCTCCAAGGATATCGGAATGAGAGCTATTGTAATTGTTGTTTACAAGCCAAATGTCACGTCCTCCTTCTGCTTCGCATTTTCCTTGATTTATTTTCACACTCAAATGTGAGAATTTTCATGTAATTGCCTTGTGTGCGGGGAGACACGAGGAAATTTATATAAAATTGCCAGGATAACCTACGGGTGTGTGCAATCAGCTGCAGATTTTGTCGCTTGTTTTTTGGGTCATTTGGTCAATTCGATTAGTTTTGACCACACCCACAGGGCCCACAGGTTGTGTCTGTGCTTTCTCTGTCCATGTGTGTGTGTAGATGCGTGTCCTTTGCGGAAGTGTGGCCAGGATTCTGGGGCAGAAGCAGCAGCAGCAGAAGTAGAAGCAAAAGCCGAGAGGGGACGACATTAAGCTGACATTGGCCAATTAGGCACGGCAAATGAGCAGCAATCTTTTGAGGCAATGATGCCTAAAACAGGGATTAGAGGCCCCGTCGTCCCTTCACCACACACACACACTGGCACACTCACGCCCACACCTTGACCACCAACATTGACAGGACAGAGCCGCATTATGCACTCAAGAAAAATGTAT